CACGCACACAATATTTGTACATATTCTTTATAGACACTGTGCAACAAAATTTCACTATGGTCTATGCCTTAAGTTATGTAAACACTGAACAATCCCTTCAGTAGTAACTGTATTCAACATTACAGCAAGCAGAAAGGCATATATTGCTTGTTTATTTAAGAAATGACCCAAACACAGCTTACCTCTTTAAAAAAACAATTGCTATCTAATGTGTGGACATTTGATTCACATAAGACTGCAGAATGCCTAGGTGCCTCAACTTAAGCTAAACCCAGTCAACAGCTGGGTAGAGGAACTTGTCAGGAAAAAGCTGTACACTTTTATGTTAAAGGCTCAGAAGGAGGCAATCTTTAAATCAGTATGTCACAGAATCATCCTAGGAAGTACTGTGCTGCTAGACATGCCAACTTTCAAATGGCATATTGTTGAGGTTCTCAGCATTCGGATCATTAATGCTTAACTAGCACGTACTACATACCTATGTCCTTATATGTCCTCTGTAATTTGAAATTATCACCAAATACAACACTCTAATTCTCCTACTAGTCCAAATTGTTAGACACTTAAACGGTACAGTGGAGACCACTTAGAGACAATTGTTTCAGAGACAAATACATGTTTTAATACAGAAATTAAATATTTTTTAAGTTTAAAATATGATCATTATGTTAAATGTATTTTAAACAAATCTATTTGAAATTATGACAATACTATTAGGCCTAAATTTACTAGCATCTATCAAAATAATTAAAATTGAATTATATTACTGCTAAAGTTTTAAGAAAGGCAAAGGACTGAACTACAGAAACTCACTGAGCATCTGGAACCAGGCTTTTCTGAAGTGATAAACCAAGTTTTGACAGTTGTAGCCTCTTCTGCAGGTGCAGAATGTTTTCTTCCTTTCAGTTTATTCAGTTTAATCTGGTTGAATGACGTTTATTCAAAGTGAAGGGATTAATTTGGAGATAAAAAGCTAGAAATCCTTCTTTTTCCTTCTCTCAATATCTAAATAAAACTAGGAGTGAGATGCAGAAGATTATGAATTTTAAAAGCCAAGGCATGATGACAAGAAAAAAAAAAAAATCAGCTTAACTCATCAGCTACAATTATTGCTTTATTTCAGAAGTAGTTTATTCTGAAGTGTAAAAAAGTTTTGATAGTCTTTTTCTCATGTATCAACATGCTCAACATAATTTTGTTATACAAATATAAGAATGAAAAAGTGAATTTTCTGCATATTTAACTAAATTCCAATTAGTATCCAAACTTCACCTGACAAAAGTATGAGTAAAAAAAAATCTATTTAAATCTATAAAAAGCATGCTATTCATCATTTTCTAATATAATGAAGAGACAAAGAAGCTGAATGAATGAATAAACTGTATAATTTGTTAACTAATTTGTTAAATACATATATGAAGTATATTCATGACTAGCAAAAGGTGCAGAACTAGCATCAAAGTGGATTTAGTTGCAAATCCATTGAAAAATAACCAAAAAGTGCCAATGCAAACAAAATTTAAAATTGATTATTTAAATTAAGGTTTGCTTGCTGCTTAACACCATGACAAAAACCAGTAATTTAAATCAAAACTAATATAAATCAACCTATCCTGAATTCTGTTTACCAATATTTTAGTAAAAAGTTCCAGATATCAATATCCAATATAAATACACTGCAAATTAGAAACTGAAATTTGGGTCCTCTTCTGGAAAACTGAAATCACGTGAACTATTATTCTGGGTTCTTTGAAAAAGCAAAGCCAGAACATATAAGCACATTAAGTGCTTTATACAGTTATTTTAAGGGATACAGTGGCAGACCGATGTACCTTGGTCCTGCTCCAGCAACACAAGTTCAAGCCCTGCTCTAGATTTGTCCTAAAGAGGTCTTTGGCCAGACAACCGCAACCTGGTTGTTTGGGCTAGGGAGCAAAATGGTTGGATGCCACATTAACTACTTTGCTCCCTTGTATACTGTTAGTTACGAAAAAAGCCTTAGGTTCAAAAGAACCTCTGACCTTTTGATACGTGTATGTCAGTTATGTTTAAATGGTTGTTTAAACAGAAGATTGCCTACACTCAGTATAACTGTGTTTGTATTTCCATTCTTGACCATTGTGCAACTTCCTAAAGCAGTACTTGCTCATATCAACTGTTAACCTTCTATCTCCCATAGGACGAGTGTAATTCTTCTTCCCCATTGCCCAGTGAAGAAAAGAAACTAATGTTTGCATTGTATAACAACTTAGGCTGAAAACAATGCACTGCAGTTAAATAGTAAACCTTAATAAAGAGAACCCAAAATAAAACTATAATTTTGAAGCATGGATATAGCCTTTCCCATTCTTTAAGAATCACTAGTCTTGGAAAGGGCAAAATTTGGTTATTGGTGTAATAAACTTTCAGAAGACATGACGTCAAACGTAGGCACCTTGCTGCAAATATATAATAATCATGAAGAAACTCTTTGACTCCAAATTGGCCTTCACATATGTAATCCTGTTTTCCTGAAATTCCTTAGAGGATCAAAGCTCACTGCTTAAAAAAATACTCTGTTTAAAAAACAAACACCACATCTGTTTCATGGTGAGCCAACAAATTAAATACTATCCATTTCAAAGGCCCTGGATGGTAGAGGTAGACCTTCTTTAAAACCAGCTGCCAGATGCAAGTCTCTCGATAGAATGTATAATCTAAAATGCTTCTTAAAAATGTAGTGTTTTAATTAAGCCAACAACCTGTATGGCACACAGACTACTTTAAACATCTATAGGATTTAAATTCACAATTTTTAATAGATATAAATAAAAGAGGTAAAAATGTAATCCTTACACATGTGTGCAGTTATTATATATCTTAGGTTGTATAATACAATGAGTTCATCCTATAATGTAAGATCAACCATACAAACATTTGGTCACTAGTCTACGATTGTAGGTATAATGTAAAGAAGATCCATTATATATTTAAGTTTTCATAGACCAATCGAGTCCAGTGGGTGTCAACCATTTTTTTTTACAGGCATGCCAGAAATTAGCCCCACTCTCTCCATTCCAATTGCCTTCCCCTGCAGCATCTGCTCTGAGCCCTGTGCCCTGGTCTAATCTACTGCTCTGATTTCTGCTTCCTTACTTGCAATCCCGGCCCAATCTGCTCCTTGCACTACCTGCCACGACGCTGCCTGTCCCCTCCACAATCTGTAACATACCACACACAATGGCTGCCCATGCCACCATGTCTAGATTGTCACAGGACATCAAGCACCAAGATGTTACTAGTATGAGTTAGTGAACACATCAAGGGAAGATCAAATGCTTGATTCCCCTTTCAAAGAGATGGACAAGTTTCTAATTGCAGGATTCCAACCACAAAGCATTCCCCTTAGACCCATACTGCCAGTCCCAATTTGTTGCTTTTTTCTAATGCATAATAAATATTGGTTATCTGTGTAACATGCATAATCTCATGATTTATCTTTAACTGTACTCGGGTAAACTACATACTAGTTCTATCTGTCAACATTGTAATTGTATTCCCTTTAAGTGAGCCAGAAACAGGGACTGGGAAATCTGTTGAGTCTCAAAAACAAGGGAAGCCAAACCCAAGGCTTTTAATAACAGCCCCTGGCTCCTAAGATCTTGAAAATAAATGCAGGTAGTCATCTTCAGGGCTGCTAGCCAGCACTGCATACCTGTGGGACATTGGTCACATTGGGCACATGCTGGGGTGGTGGTGGGGGGTCAAGAAGAGCCGCTCCAGAGACCCACTCTAGTTACAGCACCACAGTGTCTCATGCATCCAGCATCTCCATGATTTAAAATGCCAGCAGGGGTGCTCTTTAACTAGAGCTCATGTGATGAGCTTTAGTTAAAAAGCTCCTGCCATCATTTTGAAGCATTGGGATGCTGAATACAGAAGCTCCCAAGGCTGCTAGTGTGCTAATTAGCATGCTCCAGCAGAGTCAGTTCATCAAGACTCGAACGCATCATAATTACAGTACAGCGCGTCAGGAACAGTGCTCCTCATGTCTACAAGCACCACTAAATCCCACTAAGTGCAAAGGTGAAGGGCCCTGCTACATGTTAGCATTGCCAACCCTCCAGGAGTCTCCAGGAATTAGACATAAAAATCTCTAGCTTGCTGAGAGTCACCTGGGAGATAAATGATAAGGCATTCATTAAAATAAATATTAAATGTTGAATCCAATTTATACAGTAGTCCGGGATTTTTTTTAAATGCAATAATCAGGTGCATTTGCCTTCCTGACGTAAAGTCTACGCACCATAATCCATCACTAATATACGTAAGCACATGGGCATGTTCACATTGTCCTGGTCGGTGTCCAGACTGCCAAACACAGATTCAAACAGAGTTGGCAACCCTACTACATGGTCAAATGACAGCTGGATATAAACTAGCTCTGGAGCCGTTCCCCAAACAGCCAGGTGGCTCTTTTCTAGAGCGGGAGGCTCATTTTCCATGGGTGACTACGACTCTGAAAATAGGGCCGCTCTCAACTTCTTGCACAACTCACTACTCAGCTATATGACAACGACTTGGCATTCGTGGCCGCCTGCATGTACTGCGCGAGTCGCCACGAGCCTGGTGCAGGCAACGCGTGGCAGGGCCCCAGGACGGCACAGCCTTACTGCAGGCCCGGGACCGCCTTCTTCAGCCGCGGTGTCCCCTGGGGCTGGGACAGAGACAGGGCCAAGGCCAGGAGAAGGACGCGCGGCGCGGGGAGGTCGCGACCCGCTCCTTCAGCCACACAAAGCAAACCAGGGGCGGCCTCGGCTCACCCCGGGTGCAGCGCGGAACCACTGCAGGGCTCCGGGCCACTACATCCCGTCACCACCACACCTGGAGTCGCAAGCCCCGCTCCCCCGCCCCGGGGCGCACGCGCACTGCTGCCTCACTCGGGGGCGGGGCAAGGGCTCCCCCCGCCTCAGCGCTCCCCCAAGCTCCGGCGAGGGAGGGGCGCGCCGCTTGCTGCCTACCTCGCTCAGGCGCCACCGCTTCCGGTGTCCTGGAAAGGCCTCTGTCGCCGCGGGCCTCAGCACAGCCAATCGCAGGCCGCGACGGCCTCGCCGCGTTCCCACCCCTCGTTGCTCCCCCGCGCCAATCAGAATGCTCAGCGGCATCTATCCGGCCAATCAGAAGGATGTTCGGCTCCTATGTCTTCCGGTCCCGCCCCTTTGGTGCCGGAAGTGTGATGTGGCTGCCAGCTGGGCGCTATGGTGAGTGCGGAGGTGGTGTGGGAGGGAGCGGGCGGCGCTCGCGGACCCTGATCCGGGATCCCCTCCCCCCCCACTTCAGGTGCCGGACTTGGGCATCCGGGTGCCCCTCGCCCCGTCAGGCGAGGGGGGGACCGGGAGTGAGGCCGCCTCGCGCAGCGCCCTGTGTCTGACAGGGGTTTCCCAGAGGTTCCTCGTCATCGTCTGCGAGAGCCGGGGGTCTTGTCGGTCGTGTTATAGTCCCAACTCGGGGGTGCTCAGGGCCCTGCAGCAGCAGCCTTCTGTGCCTTGATGCCTTGTCAGGGCCGTTGCATGGTGCATATGCTGCTGGGTGGGCAAAGGGAAAGGGGATCTAGCAAATAAACCCAAATCTTTCAAACAGCAATCTGTTGGGTGAGCCCCAACTATTTGAGTCAGCGTAATAAAAGCTATCAAATTTACCCAAAGATCCCTGTCTGCCCATGTCCTTAGACCAACACAGCTCTAACCTATGCCCCTGCTATCTTTTGGCAGTTAGACACACAGCAAAAGCTTTCTGGGGGTGTCTCAAGTCTAAAAAGGTTGAGAACTGCTGGTTTAACTTGACTTGCTGTTCATCTTCTTGATGGGGATGCTCAGTATGCTTGTAATTGAGATGTCACATGCATGAGTAGAGGATTTAATTGTTTTGACAGCTCTCTGGTAGATGCTTTTGAGAATGATTTGGTGTAAATGAAGGCATAGCTCAAGATGAGATGCCTGTACTTAGCCTATGTGGACTGACTCTGGAGATGACTCAGCTGGGTTCTTCCAAGGAGTTCTCCGAAGTTCAGAAGTCTGGTGGAAGAATAGCCAGTTGGGATCGGAGCTGAAATTGCTTCAACCTGGGGAAAATACATTTTTCTACAGTGGATGACAAGAACACATTTGTGCAACCAGGTTAAGCTTTCAGAAGCTGTTTAGTTCCTTCTCTTCTGTTTAAATGTTTGGGTTTAATAGGATTCCCTATCAGAATAAAGCTTCACATTTATGGTACCTGAAATCAAAGATGAAAATAAAACTTTTTCAGAAATATTTTGTGAAATGGCCATTCCCAGTGGTGGTATCATTTTTGTGAATCTTTCTTTACTGTCCAGTAACTCAGAAAAACAACTGTTCTTTTTCATGATCGAAGAAAACCAGTACATCAGTATGAAAAAGGTTGTGTAAACTCTAAAGAGGTTCCCAAGGTCTGGCTTTCGCTCCCCCATGCTTGTAGGACCATTTCTTAATAAACCTTTTTTTTTTTTTTTTTTTAAGGTTTGGGGCAGAAAAAAAAAGGGCCAAAAAAAAAGGGCTTTTTTTTTTTTTTTTTTAAAGTCTGGGGGGAACAAAAGAAAGGCCAAAAAATAAAGGCTTTTTTTTTTTTTTTTTTGTAAGGTCTGGGGCAGACAAATGAAGTGCCAAAATATAAGTGCTTTCTGTCTTTTCTGTATAATAGATGGCCATAACATTAAGAGGTTCTGAAACCTGAATGTATGGAACCTGTTGCAAATGGAAGAAATTAAGTGAATTCTCTTTCTTTACCAGCAGCCTAGAAGACTACTTGGATATAATAAAGTAGCCTCTAACAGAGAGAGGAAAGTAGTTTAAAACTCCACCTTAGAATAGAAATTAAAATAATCACACTCATCAGTGGAGCATTTATTTTACTGATTTTAACCTTTGGATTTTTCTCCAAATATTGTACATAAAGGATTGGTGCCCCCACAAGAGGAATTTTGTAACTAGAGCTTCTATAATAGTAGAGAATGTCCAAGCCAGAGCATGTTCTGTGTAGAAACATCTTGTTTTGATAAGTAAATATGCTGTCAAGTAGACTACTTGGAAGAAGGTTGGGCTGAATTTTCCAGTGAACTTACGTAGGATATCATCATGCTTCGAAACGAAGGAGTGGGGCTTGGGGGCTGAGATCTGGCAACTATATGGAGCTCTAGGACATGTACAGGGAAATGAGGCTGAATCATGGTAGATCTGGGAGCTACCAGAAAACATGGTGTTGGGTCTGATAGTGTAGCTCTAAAGAATTTTGTCTTGCTTGTATACGCTTTGGAGGCTAGAAGGTTTGGACCATGGTTAACACAAATATAAGAAGCATTAACACCTGTGTAAAACAGAAACAAGAATACCAATAGCTATGGTCTTGTAAAACCAAATTTCTACCCTGTTTTCCAGTTAATAGAGCATATTTACAATATGTCACTTTTTAAAATAACAAAACTTCTTGTTGAACTGCTAACTTAAAACAAATTGGATAGAGACTGAGGGAAATTGTGGGAGATTTTATACATACACACACAAATTGTCTGTCAAGAATGATGGGAAGGAGGCAGGCAGGGACAGAGGCCGGCCCCCTCCCCCAGCCATGGGACAGGGCTGGGGCCAGGGCCATGGCTTCTCCCTACCTCTCCCCTGCCACTTTGGGCCAGGGCTAGGGCTGTGTCCCATCCCACACACTGCTCCACACTGCTTCAGGCTGAGGCTGCTCCCCTGCTCTGCTTTGGCCTGCGACCCATGACCACAGCAGTTGTGGCAGCGGTCGCAGCCACGGTGACGGTCATGGCGGGGCACAGCCACCAGTCACCCCCCTTGCCTTCCCTCTTCCCCGCTGTCTCCCCCTCCCCACCGGCTGTTGTTGCCTTTTTTTTTTTTTAAACACTATCCAATATTCTCATCCTCCTTATTGTAAAATGGAGAGAATTTGTATAGATTATTGTTTCTGTAATGTAGAGGTTTCCTCATTAGAATACACAAGTAAGCCTGAAAAGTTTATAGTATCCTGTAAATTGATATGAGTTTATAATGAAAGTTCACCTGTGACGGTCATTGAATTAAGGCATGCCTTCTTGTTAGTTTGTTTGGACTGATGGAGGAAGAAATAATTTTACATTGTTTAAAAAAGACTGGTATTTTTTATAGATTTGTAGGGTAAAATAGTAAACTGGTTGCCTTAGCCTAAATACAAAGGAATATCCTTTCCCATGAGTTAAGCTGGTGACTGTCTAGCACGCTGTATCTATTTCCCAAAGCTTTTTCATGACCTGTTAATTGGTGGGAATTAATTAACATATGCAATAAAGAAGTAAAGCTTTGTGCATCACAAATTTTTTGTGGGACCAATATGCTGCTTTGGATGTGTTGGTGTAGTACAGATAGAATTTATATATGTGAAGATGTAAACCTGTGATTCTCGGACAGGTACCTTCGTATCCTTTCATGCGCTCTGTTAAGTATGTGAACACAATATACAAGCTTAACCCAGAGATTTTAAATACAAATCCAGTATCAAGAACTTTCTGCCCTATTGTGGTCTGAGTTTTTTGCAACAAAAGAATTGCTGTTAGTTTTCTGTAGTCAAAGAAAGAATGAAAACTAAGAGCTGGAATTGCCTAAAGGTTCTCTGAGTCTAACAAGGGATGCTTTGAGTCTAGAAAGGTTGAGAACCACTGATGTAGATGTATGATACTATCACTTTCGCTTGTGGATCAGTTGGAGTAGTTAGCTATGAAGCTATTTCAAGAGTGTTGTGGTCAGTCTGTTGTCATAGACTTTATCACAAATCAGAACAGTTTTTCAGTTTCAGTTCAGAAGAAAGCTGGAATCTAGCTTTTATTGTTGTGAACTAATTTAATGTTGTCTTCCTGAATCTGTAAGTAGCCTAAAACAATAGTTCTCAGAAGTGCAGACTCTCCCCACCCATATTAGTTTGAAAGGTTATGTTGAGGTCTTACTGTTGCCATTTTAATTGCCAGTATTAATAGTTTCACTGTTGTTTAACTGCTATTGCATTTTAGCTGCAGTGAGCAACGTGCTTGACTTATGAGCTGTAATGATGGATGTAGGTGTGGAGAAATGAGATGAGCTTCTTACTGTAATGTATTTGATAGTTTGCAGTTTCAAGCTATCTCAGAATTTCACATCAGCCCTCTTTGCAGCCAGGGGGAGAGAAAAATGATGCATCTTTTCCATGTTGCTAATTTTTTTGCCAGTCTCAGACAATCAGAAACCTAAGCCACTTCAGTCTTTCTTGAACCACACACCTGCAGTGGTCCCACAGGGCTGGTGTAGTGCCAATTGTTAGTGCACAGCACTTTGTGCAACCTAACAGATTTAGCTATGTGCAGCAGGTATTGAATCTGCTGGTTCTGTTCAAGCCAGATAGGGTGGGAACTGTTGACCCCCCAAATTCTTTATTCAGTGTTTTCATGGACATGCATTTCAGGTTGCAGGAATACGTGTCATGAGTCCCATTATGTTCATAGGATGTCATGCATGTTTCCTTGAGTTTGTTTACTGATATGGCATGTATAGTCTGTGCGTATAAGTAGTATCAAGTTGTGTTCAGCCTTAACATCCTTAGGTTTCTATGAATTGTGGTATTTGATATAAATCTATTTCTTAAATTGCGATAGGGCCAGGATTGGGTAATGAGTCCCTTGGGACAAGCTCAAAGCCTAAAGAAAGGTAATCACTGAAAATTAGCATTCGACAGAGATGTTAAATATCCAGGCCCTCCAAACAATGACAAATTTACATTTTAAAAATAGGGACCCATAAAAATATCAAATTCCTGTGTGGGCTGTTTGGGGAAGAACATTTATCACAGTGGGAAAACTGAGTGACAGATGGTATCTTTAGGATACTGGATTAGTAATCTTCATGTCTGAAAGGATGCAACTATTCTCCTAGTCTTAATTAGATCAGGGAAGACTTTTAGACTGGTAAACGTGCAACTTCGTTGTGGGGGAGGAAGACAGAAAGTTATATGGATATGTGGGATCCCCAAGAATCCAATGGGC